AAGGTTGAGGCTCTATGGGTTCTTGAGGTGCTAATATTTTATCAGGGTTCCACTATAATACACCCCAAAACCCATTCGAATGTCTAAGGCCCGTATATCAGATGGCCAGATAGACAAGCCAGGGAGAGGCCGGTAATTATCCTGCATGTGCTCGTACATACTGTAGACCGCTGATAAGTAAGCAAAAATAAAGTCCCTTTCTTTAATGGCCTTACTGTGAAGAGCGCATTCTGATCCCTCTGAAGGAATGGTTTTCCCGGGGTCTACGCTACTCTTCAGGCACACCAGAGAAGGATGCATAGTCCGAGCTTGGATGTGCAGGTTCGGCTTGTCCTCTGGACGTCGCCAGTCGTGCTCTTCGAGACATGGTGGCGAAAGATAACTTGAAGGAGTGTGTGAAGGTGTCTCAAAAGTAAGAAAAGAAGGGACGTCAACATAGATTAGGAGGAGCCCTGAACATCGAGAATATCACTGGATTTCAGGGTTAACTTTCACTTAAAGCCGAGGTTACATCATGCTTCCAGGATTTCCTGATTCAGAATATGGGTCATTGAAAATGGATTCAATGGCATCCTGAACATCGGATCCCTAATTTTAAGAATGCTCTATCCGGCCACGGTGACACGGGCGGGAATAGCCACTTCTGTCCCTCAAGTGATGGTAGCCGGAGTGAGGGCGTCGAACTCCGGCGACTGACATAGGGGAGTTTGAGTTTAGATCTTAGAGGCTCTTGTAAATGCATATCCTTAAGTTAGGGTGTTGATAAGTTTTGGGTCTCCCGTTTTCTGAAAGCTTCCATATAGGCTCCGGACTTGGCTCAAGTTCCGCCTCCCAGGTCGCCCTGCTTGTGCTGGCAGCCTCGGGCACAACGCGCAGGGCTCAGCTTTCTCAGAGGTTTCTCGGTTACTGCTTGTGCCTTCCTGGGTGTGCTTCATGGGGAAATATGGCATACATGGCCTTGCAGGACTTTTACTGGGTGAGAAGGCGTCGTGTTAAAGAAGACGTAGGTCGCTTGGCCCGAAGGGGACTCCTCCTTACTGGCCGTTGCGTTGCGGAGCTAGCCCGTCTCAAGATGCTCAAGTAGGGTGCATCAACCCTGAGCCGCCGCATCAATTCGCATCCGCCTCCCACCCCGGCCCAGCCCCCAAAGCCCGGTGCAGAGACAGTGTCCGAGACCCTACCCACCGCAGCCCCCTCACCGCCAAGCTGCTCCCTCCGAGCCATTTCCGCCCTGACTCCTGTGGCAGTAGTCGCTTTCCCCCACAACTGTGATGTGCTACGGTTGATGATATCAATCCTGCATGACCCATAATAAGGAATATACCATAATTCCCATAGTTTAGGGTCCTTCAGGTGATGCAGGATTTATATCATCAACAATAGGTCAATAGGTCCTGAACTCATTAAGAAGACATGGGGATGCAAAGGATCGGCTACCTGATCTGCCTCGTGTGCCCCAGCACTCGTCTGGCAAGCAGCGCGGCCCAGTTTGTCCTCGCCAGGGCCTTACGAGGGCTTCCCGCTCTTCACCTATCATGAGCTAATGGAGGCGTTGCAACATGTTGGAACCTGGCATAGCAGATGATGAGCATGACTGCGGGACAGCATAGTACAAAGCATTCAGTTTGGGCGATTCTGGTACGGGGCTTGGAGGTTGTGGCCCAGCCTCTAGCCGAAGGTACCATTGGAGTTGTCAGGATCTTATCGGGGTCTGCTTGACGTCACAGACGTGAAACTTCGAACGAGCGCTGCAACTTGAGACTGAGAAGCCTTTCAGGCATAAGCACGCAGCAAAATCAAATCGAAACCCGAAAGTCCCTACATCCTAAATACTAAACCTAAACCCTAAACCCTCGTACCGAAACACGCAAGCCTAAACTGAAGGCCTGGGTGATCTTCTTTGCGCCAGCGGCGCCTGCAGCTACGGCATCTTCGGCTCAGAAAACTCGCGGACTTCTGCGGTTTCCCAGCGTCCCTTTGTTTGGGGTTAGCGTGTGGGATGCAAGGTTTCCATAAGATGTTGAGGCCTCCATGCCCTAAACCCTAAACCCTAAACCCTAAATCCCTAAACCCTAAACCCCAAACCCCAAACCCTAAGCCCTGCCGCATCTTGCGAGGTCGTGCCGGCGGCAACTTGGACCAGCACTGGGTTGGCAAATAAAGCTCGGGGCACTACACACTCAAACTCGAAAGGAAAGCGAGGGGGTTCCGAAATGCACCAAAGCGGCTCATGAAGCTTAATATGGTGGCCTTGCCTGGCAGTGTCCGAGTTGCGAGAGCGTAGTATGGGGGCTTTAATAATTCGAGCAGGGTTTTGGGATGTTGTGCTATAGTCATATAGAGGAGCCCTTTGGTAATACAGTATCGGTACTGATTTATTATGCCCCTGTACCCTACGCCCCCTAGTACACTCCCTCGACTTTGGAGATTTCGGACGCTTCAGCATAAATGTCCAACTGTCCAAGCACAGAGAAACTCGCCTGGCATGCCTGAGAGGGACCACCGAAGCCCCAGTGCTGCTTACAGTTTCTCACCCCGCGGTAATAGAAATCGTAAACTCGATAGTAATAATGATAATAATAGTAATAATAACAATAATGATAGTAACTTGTTATTCATATGAGAAAATCCGTACCAGGCTCAGCCAAGAGTCCGACTGCCGAGGGACCTCATCTGACAATGAACCCGAAACGCTAGGCCCTAAGCCCTAAACCCTAGGCCCTAAACTCTAAACCCTAGGCCCTAAACCCTAAACCCTAGGTCCTAAACCCTAAACCCTAGGCCCTAAACCCTAACTAGGCCCTAAACTGAAGCTGCAGAGACCCTGAGGCGGGTAAGCAGACCTGGACGGCGCTGTTCCTTCCGGCCATCCCCCCAGAAGCTGCAAGCCACAGATCATATGCTCACGTTTATGTAAGTGAATAAATGCAAAAACTGAATAAACAGCAACAGAAACTATACTATATACGATGAATCAAGCAGTGCCGTCAATGTTCTAAGTATGTACATGCATGCAGACGCACGCGCACACACACACACAAGAGCAAAGTTGTCTGTCATGTCACTGGACAGGTGAGAAAACATATCTGGAAAGCGAACTGGCAGATTGCTGCAACCGCGTTGCACCCCTTTGGTGCCTGGTTTTCGCTTAGCCAGGACAGACACGCACAGATTCCTGCCCCTCTGCAAACTTGTCAGCATGCGAGAAAAGCATTGCAATGTCAAAGAACCGGGAAGGCACTCCCCCTCTCACTGTCATTCTCACCCTCACTCTCACTTTCACTCACTCGCACCCACAAGCACTGCATTCCAAACGACCAGCTGGCCAGCTGCCACGGCACGACACGACACGGGAAGCATTATTCATTATTGACGCATTGCTGACAATATTGGAAAAGGACTCCAGTTTGTGGGCACTCGCAGGTACACTTCTTCTTTAGTGTCATAACATCATAAATAGCAAAACCGTGAGCAGTTGCAACAATCTGTGATGCACGTGTTCATTGTACACAGACAGAGGTTCAAAATGCATTATTCGCCAGAGCCAACGCAATGATCCTGGCAACCACACCTGCGTAATATTGGGTATTTAGCCAAAGCCACAATGTGTTCAATGGCACAGTTTCTTGCAGCAGCGACAGCAAGTGTTATCGTATGTAATTAGGGGAGGTACGCAGAGGCAGAGCGCGCGAGAGAGAGAGGAAGGCATTCACCAAAGCCGACTTAAGACCCACAAGCCTCGCCTGCATAGTCCGAGAGTGAGAGTCGAAGCCCAAATGGGGTTTCCGAAAATAGGGGACCCTAATTGAATATAGCACCCTAAATAGTAGGATCCTTATTATAAGGACCCCAAAATAAGGTACCAATAAGGTACCCTAATTTTCGGAAAGTCCCAAATGTGTTTCACCAGCAGACCTCGGACCACATGCCTCGCCTGGAGTGTCCGAGCGTGAGCGGCGAAACCCAGTCGAGGTCATTTCGGCACACCGGGCAACTTTCGAGCTGACCGCTGCGTGTGTCAAGGGCCGTTGCTTTGCGGCTCAAGATGTGACTCTTGGTCCTGAGTTGGGAGATTTCGGTAATTTTTGGGGTTTGAATAATTTCTGTACCATGGCGAACCGGATTTTTCTGTCACATAATTTTGCCATGATATACCCCCCAAACACTAGTCTAATGATGGGGGCCCATATAAAGTTCGGTGTTGCAGAAGATCTGGATGCAAAGGAGGTTCGGGGTGTGAGAGTCTAGGGTTCGCCCTCTGCCGTCAGACGCATCGGCCTTAGTACGGATTTGCAGAAAAGGGTTTGCGTTTTTTCGAGTTCGGTGCCCGATTCCGGGTTGCACGGGGTTTAGGAACCCAGTGTGCATGAATAGCGTGGGCGCATGAATCATTCCTGACAGTATTCTGAACCTCACCTGGATCGCCCAAGTTGTGAGAGTCTAAATACAAGCTGGCGATGATTTCGAAACATCCTCAGGCAATTTTTGCCACATCTGCACCCGAGACATCCCGAGACTCCGCCCCGTAGCCTTAAGTCCTAGGTGGTATTAGGGAGACCCCTGAAAAGGGGACCCTTCTTAACCCTACTTATGGCTCTCCTAAACGGGACTTTATTGAGAGGGGTCTATATACCCAAGGGTCCCCCTAATCCTAACTCCTATTAAGTATGGTTTCGGGATGAGGGTGTCGTGTAGGGAGTAGGGGTTTGGGGAATTAGGGTTAAACCCCGAACCCTCGCCCCGCTCGCCCAGGAGGGAAGCCTTCATGACGGGGAGGCGTCTGCAATGTCTTGTTTTAGACAGTTGGGGGTTGTGCATGTAGGGGTCTAGTGCAGACGTTTAGATTTTCGCGGGTTATGACCTGGTGAGTCATTTGCACGTCCTTTCCGTCAGGGTTGAGGAATTGCTTGAGGTTGCTAGCAATTGTGCCACCCGCTTCTTCCGGCTCAAGCACGAACACGTCTTCTTCGGAAGATGTGGTGTCTTGCGTTGTTTGTGCAATGCCTCCACCGCGGATAGCATGCGGGTGTGGATGGAAGGCGCCGTCGCTGTTGATCCTCTTAGCACCTTGGCCGATTTGGCCGGAAGAGACCCGGCGTTTCAATGCATTGCAACCCTAAACCCTAAACCATGTCGTTCTTCCATCTCGTTGCATGCCGTTCTTCATGCGGCATGTCATGTACAGATGCATTCGGCTAAAACCTCGGGGTCTTATTGCCATAGCCGCTCGAGGTTACAACTGGCAGGGCAGTTCGTGACGAGTCCTTCAGCACGAACATCGATGTCGACAAATCGGGCGGAAGTGCCAAGAATAGTGCATGGACAAACTCGAGCCTGCTTGCGAGCCTTGGCTGGCATCAGCATCCCTCCGCTAGGTTCGTTGCAGCTTCCTTTCAGTCGGATTTTTGCCTCTACGGTGCCCGGCTGGACTTACAGTGACTTCTGCATTCGGCTCTCACCGAACTGATGGCCTCTTCCTGGCCTTCTCCGCCATGCTTTCGTCGTTGCGCATGCGACGAAAAGCCCTACCTCGTACGTGCACCCATTCCTGCTCCCATTGAGTAGCAGCAGCAGCAGCAGGAGGAGGAGGAGTAGTAGTAGTAGTAGTGGTAGTAGCGGGAGTAGTAGCAGTACCATGACGACGACGACGACGACCACGACTCCTACGTCTGCTACGACGACTACGACTCCTACGACTACTACGACTACTACGACTACTACGACTACTACGACTACTACGACTACTACGACTACTACGACTACTACGACTATGACGACTACAACGACGACTACTGCTGCTACTGCGACTGGTACAGTAGTGGAAATGCAAGCAACTGTTACGCCGACGGTCACAGCCACGGCTAGGGCTGATGCCGCTGCTACGACGACGACGGCTGCCACTACGACTACGACTCCTGCTCCCACTCCCTCTCGCACCCGCACCCGCACCCCCACTTGCACTCCCACTCCTTCCCACTCCCTCCCACTCCCACTCCCTACCACTCCCACTCCTGCTGCTACTCGTGCTCCTACCACTTCATCGACTGCTAGCCCTACCGCTTTTGCTGCTACGACTGGGTGTTTGTCTCATCTCTGCCACACTAAGGACGTCTCACACCAAATCCGCTGCTGAACAGGTCCCTGGCGGGGCCCTTGCCGTTTCAGTCGCCGAACAAGCCCTTGTGCGCCTGAGCTTCATTTCTTGTGGCACATTCACTAACTGAGTTCGTAATGACACACCCCAAAACAACCCTCAACTTGATGTGAATCTCGCAGCCGGAAGTTTGGGGCAGAAATGCGAAGTCCCAACAGAAGCCTGTACCCTCGCTTTTGCAGCCTTCAACCTTGAAACCGGGTGCTTCCCTTTACACGGTGATCTACCTCCAAGCGATTTTCCGGAGACAGTGCAAAGTAGTGCAGTGGCCCTCACTTCCTGGATGTTTTTAAAGACCTGCGAAGACCTAGAGAGTTTGAAACAGCCTGCTGCTGCTGCTGAATAGCTTGACCTAGGCCGGCGCAGTTGCCATGTAATGCCTTTAGTTTGGGCTGTTGTAGAGCTGCTCCTTCCTCGACGAATGCCCCAAACCCTTCCGAGTTGTGAGCGCCGAACACCGAATAATATAGGGGCCTTAACAATTACCTATACTATTTTGGGGGTTCCTTACTACTAGCATTATAGTAAAATAGACCCCAAAACCCTATTCCAATTATTCAGGCTCCTACATTAGTCCTTACTGAAACCCGGCCCCAAGCCGCGGGCCTCCCGACGGAGGCTACGGGAAGCCAAACCCTGAATCTAAACCGTTAGGGTTGAGGGTTTAGGGTTTAGGGTTAAACCCATGCAAACCTTGAGAGTCCAGCTTGCCGGCATACAATCAAAGCCCGTGCTGAAAAGGGTTTAACCCGGAATCGTCAGAGGTTTCTGTGGAATGGCTCTGCCATGGCCATAGGTTATTGTCTGGCAACACGTGCCTTCGCACATGTTCGGCCTTTGGAGGATGTGGCCGTACATTATATAAAAAGAAAAATAGGTTAAATCGGTACATGAGCTGCTGCAAGAACACAATGTGCACACTCAGGGGTGCGAGTAGGAAATCGAACGAAATTAGTGTCTGTTTAGAACTCTGAAGTCCTTAGCCATGACATAGTACATCACATTGGGCAACGTCTGTTGTAAGTAGAAACGAGTGGCTAAAACGAGCGTTCAGGACAAATGGCGTGCACGCACAAGTACATATACATGCGTGTGTACATGCAGACACACCTACGTACATACATACATGCATACATACGTACATACAAACATACATACATACATACATACATACATACATGCACGTACATACATACACATACACATACAAATACACATAGGGGCTCGAAAGGAGCCTCTGTTGCCTAGTTTGCTACCCCAAACCTCGCCTGACCTGGTTGAGTGCGAGTGCTAAAATATACATACATATATATATATGTATAGATACATGCATGTAGAGTGTACAAAAACTCCTGTGTAGCGTCATGCGAGAACGGTAACAAACAGATGAGCAGAGAGTTTACCGAATGAACAAAAGACACGCGCGCACACACACACACACGCACATGTACAGATGTTTGAGCCGAGTTTACATCCGTGCAAATATGTAAAACAAAAGTGCCACCAAGCAAAATGTATGTAGGCAAGAAATGGCAAGAAATCCCAAACCCTTAACCCTACACCTTAGTACACAGAATGCTTCGCCAAGGAAGGCCGTTGAGGTCCAGGCCCGGATGAGAGCCCAAGCAATGGTCTGCGCCGATCACATCGTGGTGCCCCCAGGCCTCATGAAAAATCTTAAGCAATAAAGCTTGAAAACAACCCTTGCATACTCCCTGAGCCCTTTAAACCCTACCCTATGAAGCGAAGAGCCCTTGAACCCTAAACCCTGAACCCTCTAAAGGGAAGAACCCTTGAACCCTAAACCCCTGAACCCTCTAAAGGGAAGAGAACCCTAAACCCGAAAACCCTAAACCCCAACCCGTAAACCCTAAACTCCTAAACCCTAAACCCTACGCCCGAACGCCGGAAAGCCGGAGGGAAAACACCGCCCGAAAGCCAGGCCCTATCGAGCTGAAACCGGACTGGCGCCCGCCTTAGGGCTCGGGAGTTCTTGCTCGGGTTTTTGGCTTCTGAAGGCTTAGAAACTCGAGGGCCTCAGGGGTTTCGGGTTGTTTGGGGTTTAGGGTTTCGGGTTTCGGGTTGAGGGTTTTAGGAATTTGGGGTTTAGGTTTAGTTTCAAGGTTGCTGGCGTCTCATGAAGATCCTGAGAGTCCGGCTTGCCGGCATACACCCAAAATTCCCATGCTGAAAAGGGCTTCAGGGGTTTAGGGGATCAGGCTTCGGTGGGGTTGAGAGCTTAGAACCCTAAACCCTAAACCCCAAACCCAAAAAAACCCAAACCCTAAACCCTAAACCCTGTAAACCCAAACCCTAAATATAAACCCCAAACCCTAGTTGTTCAGGGCATCGCCTGAGCTTTGCGCGTCAGCTCCGGCCCGGGGATTCTGGGAGTCCTTGAGCCGAAAATTCCAGGAAGAGGCGGTTTCGCCTAGTTTTTAGGCTCCTTTAAGGGATCCATAAAGGGTTCTATAAGGGCTCTGTAAGGGGTCCTATAAGGGGGTACAAGAAATACTTTGGGTGGGCGACGGTTAGAGATTGAAGGATGAAAGGATCTTGCTTTCAGATTTCGTAAGAAGAGCAATCTGCACCGCGAATTTCCACAGGACGGCCCCTGAAGGTGGGAACTTCACGGAGCACTGCATGTGTGAAACGACTTGACGCTTTCTTTTGGCTTGCTAAGTAAGGTGTACGAAACCTCTCTGTGTGTCTGTGTATCCATATCGAACACAAGGCCCCCAGGCAGAAACTGTATGCTAGTCGGAGATGTCTGTTTCTCGAGGCTATACGGTGTTGGTTGCGCCTTGGATCACGGGCACATGTGCCGGTGTCCCTGGAGGGTGCCCCATGGCCGAAGTTTTTTCCGTTTCTGCCGTGTTCATGGTTTGTTCCTTGGTGCACATCTCTGGTGTGACGGAGCTTCGCTGGTGAGGTTCTTCGGATGCCAGAGGATGCTTAGCTGAACGGCCAGTCGCGGCTATTCCAGCTCAGGATGCTGCAGTGCAGCATCACTTGCCTGCATGTCGTCAGCGAACCCCCGGGCGTGGATATCTAGAGGATTTGTGTGTGCCAAGGACAGGTATGTTTGGCTTGCCTGGGGGAGTCACAACAGCCTGTGGCTCAGACACCTCAGACCCAGCAGTGTGCGATGCCGGCGCATGGAAGCAGTACCTGCAAACGGAATTTGTCTTTCCATTCCTGAGAGCGCCATCAAGTTCGTTCAACTGAGGACATCGTTCAAAAAATGGGCTTCTGTCGCATAGAACCCTGGATCTTTATCATCCCTCCTGCCGCTAGTCAGTCAGATAATCTCGGCATAAGAAAACCGAAGTTCATGATGTTCATGCAACTTATAGCTTATAGCCTGGGGTTGGGCGTTTTTTGTGCAGAAACATTTCGAAAGATTGCATAAGAGCTCGGATGCTGGTGTGCAGACAGCACGCGCATCGGAGGTTTTGCTTATCGGCGCTGCCATCGTCTTCATGCCATCTTCTTCGAGATCCTCTTCGACCGGCGAGGACCCTTCGCAACCGAGGTGGATGAAGGCCCTTCTTGTTGGGAAAAGCTTTTTTTTGGTTTGGTAGGCCAGAGAGTGCGCATCCTCTGGACCAGTCATCGCCCTAAACCTTGACTGTATACACCCGCAAAGCCTAGGTGGAAGCCCCCAAATCTTACGCCCTGAGCCTTGTAGCCGTTCCGGTCTCGGAGTATTTGCAAAGACGCGCCGCAGGGAGTGGACGACGAAGTGAAGGAGAGCAAACGCCGCAGCAAGTCCGAGACGAGCGAGGATGATGACTGAGAGCAGATGTGACTCTCCGGTGTCGCACTTAAAGGTACTCCCCCCAGGCCATAAACACTCAGCCATACGCACTAAGCCCCGAACTCTCAAAGCTCTAGACCCTACGCCCCGAACCCGGTGCCGCACTCAGAAGTGAGTGGCTCCCTCAACGGGCCAGACGGCCGCCGGAACCCGAAAAAAAGAGCTTCTCGGGCTTGGGGGAATGCCTCCTTCCTCATGGAAGATCCTCGTCTTCAAGCAACAGAACTTAACCCTAAAATCCTGACAAAAGACTAAACACCCCTAAACCCTCAACCCTGAACCCTTCGGACGCAAACTCGTCTAAAGATAGGGGCTGCCTCTTCGATGCGAAGCATCAGAATCGTGACCACATCTCCTCTGAATCCCCACGTTCCCCAGACACGCCTTGCCCCCCGGAAGTTGCTTCCAGGACTGACGGTTTAGGGTGTTGGGTTTATGGTTTAGGGTTTAGGGTTGTAGCTTTGCTTACAGGGTTCGTTTGCTGCCGAGTTCATGCCTGGCACAGGTGGGCGGGACCCTTCACCATGCTGTTCGGGTCCCAGACTGGACCTGCAACTGGGCCGTCAACCTTCCTTGATATGGTTTCTTGCTTACTGGGTTGCGTTACCACAATCTCAGGAATCTCCGGGGACGGGATCTGGCACCCAAGTTGAAGGGGTGAGCTACCATTTGGGGGTATGGTGTCGCGCAGGATCGGATGGGGTCGTACGGTTTGCATCTCGCAAGCATAAGCTCAGGAGATCGACATGACTCCGGCGGAGGCATTCATCAGCTTCCTTGGTATGACCTTGGTGCAGATCGCAATCGGAGCCCCGGGGGGTTCTGGGGTTCGGCCATAGGGAGGAACATGCAGCCGCCTCCGCTCCAAGCCTCGGCAACGAGGCTGCAAAGTGTGATGTGCTTAAAGCACGGAGGTCTGACTGACAGCAGCAATATCAGCCAAAAGCCCCGATGTAGTTGGAGCGCGTGGCAGATGTGATCGAAGTTCGAAAGCTCGGAGGAGTCGTTCTCATCACCATCCTGGACAGGCCCTGGAGTGGATGTCGAGCATGTTCCTTGCTGTGTTCTTGGGCTGAATAGTTGGAAGAGGGAAGTGGTGTTATGAAACGGTGTAAACTCTTTCTGATTGTGCAGAACCCCCTTTTATGGGCATGACATTGATGCCATATTCACCATGCAGTAGTCCAAGTCCAGCAATATCGTGATGCAGCTGCTGCGGCCAGAGCCGAAAGTGATGCAATAGACGACGAACCAGAAGTGGACATGGCCTGAGAAAGAGTTGGGGTTTAGGGAAAAAAAGGTTTAGGGCATAAGCAGGGTTTCATACAGTCATGGCATCATGTCACAGCATGATTGGGTCACTGACTGACTGCTTGACTGACTGAATGAATGAATGAATGACTGAGTATGTATGCATGCCAAGCTAGGCCAAATGCCGCTGAATGCCATCCTGGTAAGCACACACAGGCAACCCGCCATGTGATCCCTCTGTACGTGCGAAACCAAATCCAGAACGGCATGCAAGATAAGCCTGTCGGGTAGGAGTACGCTGCACTCTGTCACAGCTGTCGGCAACAGAAACATGTCACGGTGGCTCTTGACATACATGCATGCAGGCATGCATACATACATACGGACATAAATGCCTGCATGCAGCTCCAGGTACAAACGTAAACAGATGGACAGATAAGAAGATAGGTCGTTTTGGTTGACAGACGAATTTTAAATCATGCACCTATGTTTGCACGATGTTGCATGTGCATACGTGCATATGTGTTTCTGTATAACATCTCTCAGGTTGGAAAGATCGTGATGCTGTGTTACAGATCTTCGCCATGTCTTTCCATGGCCTGCAGGCGCCAGTGTCCCGTTCTGAGCGAGACAGGCCGGGCGAACTTTTCGGGATAGACCTGATATGCCTACTTGGAGGTGCATGGGTAGCTATAAGTACGGCTAGAAGTACCCTAATAAATATGGGTTATAACTATAGCTATAGCTACTTTACTTCTAACCCCACTTATAACCATCCATGAACCTCCCCCAATAGCCCAAGCCAAGCGCGGCCCCTCAAGCGAGCATTTCAGACTGCAGGTCGGGGGCAGCTGCCACCAGAGACCAGTGCCCCGGACACGCTGCTGGAAGTCAAAGGTGCGCTGGGCGGTTGTTGAAAGTCAGGGTCCCTTCTCAGCTTCTCGCCAGAGTGAGAACTTATCTTTTAAGCTGCTTCTTCAACTACTCATGAAGCTTAGGGTACCCCGGGCCTGGGCCCTGAACTAAATCTTACACGTGTTGGTATCGATGTCATGATGGCCTTCTCATTGGACTTGGTCCTGTTTCTTGAACGAGGCCAGCTGAGCATGTACTGGTAATAAACGGGTTGCCGGAGGGTTGCAATTTTTGGAGCTTGTCAGTAGCGCAGGTTGGATCGGGTCCCAAAGGTGTGTGTGTGTGTGTGCGTATGCGTGGGTGTGCACCGCCTTGAGAGCAAGGGATGCATAACAAAAAGACCAAAGGGACAGAGTCAGTGCGGAGAGGCTCTGTCCAACGAAGCTCTCCACTGCACTCCGGAAAAACGTACCTGCACGCATCCGCCCTGGGTCCCAGCGAGCTTCGGTCATATTGATTGCCATTCCAAAAGTAAGTGTGTGTGTGTGTGATCAAGCCCCTGTGTTGCCCTCTGTAGGGTCCTTGCCATGCTAGACGCATGTTCGTGTTATTTGCCTCTGTTCGGTGAGGCCTGGTGCACAGCTCCTCGACTACATGCAGCTGCGTGTTGTAGTATCGTCCACTCGAAGCTTCTGGACGCTGATGACGGAGATCATGACCATGGAGTGGGGATGCGATAGCGGCGGGGGTGATGATGATGATGGTTGTGTTGCAGCTGATGGTGGTCTGAATTCGAACGCTGCGAGAACCATCGAAAGAATGTTTACAAGTCGATTGTGACATCTGCATTACTAGCAAAGTTGGGTAGCGACAGTCAGACTAAGATATAATAAGACATAGAACCATCCTTACAGTTTTGAAATGCAGTTCTTGATACGATGCCACGCATGAACACTAGCACGATGGCGAATCTGAGCGCAAGTCGTAAGCTCTCAGCCCAACACCCTGGAATCCTAAACTGCTAGCATAGGAGCTTGATTCAGCATTACTCCTTTTATCATGGTTGCAGCATAAGCTACCCAAGGCCCCAGTCTAATGCCAAGGCCCCTGTATTATGAGGTTACGGCTGGCTTCCGTCGAGATAGTCACCAGAAACTTTCACGCTTCAAGGCGTTGCTTTGGCTGCAAGAATCTGTCCGGGTCGGATCCTTCTAATCGGATCTTCTTCTCTAGAGCTGCGTATCAACAGAATCTTACTGTTTGGGGTTTAACCGGACCTTCTGAATAATATGATTAGTTACACGACTTATTAGAAGGCTACTTATCATCAGGATCCTAGTCTTTTGGGTTGGGTCTTTTGCGTTTATTTCTTGAAAGTTGGACAGTTCCTGAAAGTTGGACGGTCAACTGTGGCTTCTTCGTGCATACAGACCTGCGAAACGGATACACGCGATGTATACTTCAATGAGAACATCACCTTGGGACACTCCCAAATGAATTGGTTGATTTGTAAGACATGTATGTTCCCTACATCTGTGTGCCTTCCGATGTTGCAAACAAATGCGCCTGCATACCAGCCGTGGATTGTAGGTGTACCTCATGTCGTCGTTTGTTGTACATTGGTGAAAGGGCACGTGCATTGCTGTTGCTGAGAAGACATCGCGAGGCTCCAAGCCTGCCAAAATCGATCCTACACTCGGCGTCGAGTTTGGTCCCTTGACGGGTGTGTAGGTTTTGGCGGGTTGGTGGTGGGATGTCAGCGTGACTACCCGACGCCATCGGCAATTCGAGTAGTTCGTGAACCGAGCTAGCTTCGTGCTGACGGGCTGATCCCAAGCAAGTGGGTATGCTAGGCCAGGAACCGTAGGCCCTGAACTCGGAACCCTGAACGCTGAACCTGCTTGGAGGTTCATGGATAGCCATAAGTATGGTTATAAGTCCCCTAATATGGGTTATAACTATAGTTACCTTACTTATAACCCCACTTATAACTACCCATGAACCTCCAAGTAGACCTGGCCAAAAAGCCACGCTTTTCAGGTGAGCTTCAAGATCGATCGGGGCGAGACGCTGGGGCTGCTGGGGCCAAACGGTGCCGGCAAGACCACGGCCATCCGCCCTTCGGATTGCTCAGCCTTGCTGTTTGCAGTATTATAGGGGCCTTGGTAATTGCCTATATTATTTTTTTGGGGGGTTCCTTAATATAATTATAGTATGATATACCCCAAGACCTCAGTACTGTTTTTTTTTTTGCTTTGGTTTCAGGGGTTGCAAGGTTTGCAGAAGTACTGCCCTAAAGACGTGGAAAGATGGGACTCTTGGGTTCCCGAATACCATAAGGGCCTTAATGATTAGAATAGGGTTTTTTGGGGGTTCCTTATTATAATTATAGTATAATAGACCCCGAAACCCTATTCTCATTGTTAGGACCCCTACATTAGAGTTTAGGTTTGGGGGCTTGGTTCCCAGCAGGAAGGCTTTTGTGCAGGCTGGAAGCAAAAAGGGGATGCAAGGAGTTTAGGGTTTAGGATTTAGGGTTAGATTCAGTTGGGGGCTCATTGCATGCTGGTGCCTTCAGCCCAGGATGCATCACGGGCGAGGAGGGCCCACAAAAAGGCGGGATGTTGGTGTTGAAGGGTTTTAATCGAAGTTTCAGAAAGTCAGGAACGCTTTGTGTAGATCTTGCATCGGACGCGTTCTGTACGGGCACCATAAAAACAGGACTCCGATCTTAAAGAAGCACGACCCCGCAAAAGCCTTCGAAAGCTCTTTCATGTTTGAAACCCTCAACCCTTCGTGTTTGTGAATGCTGAAACTGAAACCCTCTAAGACCCCGTTAGGCGGGCAGGAAAATTCGGTCGAAAAGAAAGCCCATTCGATCTGCCGCGGCGTTCCTGCCATGTGCATTGGCTGAGCAGCGAGGGCCCATATGCCAACATCTCCACCCTGCACATCTGCACCAGAGCCCAAAATCCCGACAAGCTCATATCGAAGCAAGCCCTCCTGCTTAAACCCAAAGCCGTGCAGGTTCCGTGAGTATTGGTGCTGAGGCGGGTGGGGCCTGCATAGGCCTCTGCCCGCAGGCACCCGGTTGATGCTATGTGGGTAGTTCTCCAAATTAGTGCCCCTTTATAATAAGGGTGCCCGTACTATATTTGGGACCTGAAAATGAGGATCCCTTTTTTTTCCAAAAGGGATCCTCATTTTTTTTTGGGGAGAACTACCGGGTGTGTTTCTGGAGACGGATTGCGATAGATCTCGAAGGATCTCCCTGCTTTTGGCTCTGCAGCCAGGGATTTCCTGAAGCTGCCATGTCCTACGTAGCATTAGGGAGACCCCTTAAAGGGGACCCTTCTGAACTGTACTTGTGGCTCTCTTAAAGGGGACCTTATTGAGAGGGTCTATATCCCCAAGGGTCAGCTGGTAGGGTATGTTCGCTTCTGGGCCTCGTCTTTTCAGAACAGGCAAACTTTGTGGGGTTTCGATCCAGCAAGCAGAGCTTGTCGCCTCGTGGCCCACCCCAAAGTAGCGTTCTTCCTCAGAAAGGCAGGTTGGACCTGGGCTTCTAGAGGTCCCTCTGCTTACACGAAGTCCATGGGGGTCAAACCTGGCTCCCGGTGGCAGGAGACGGTGATCAACGGCCCCGTGGCTCCGTGATGGGACCTTCAATAGCCCAGCTTGCTTGACACAAGAGAGGCTATCTGATTTTGCGAGACTGACCATCCGAGGTGATCTGACCGTTGCTGAGAATTTGCTCTTCTTTGCCTATGTGCGAGGTGTGGCGAAGGATGTTCAAAGCCAGGGAAGCTCCTTCTGTTTTCTGCCAGTGCTTGACTGTATCTCATCCCCCGATTGCTCAGCTTTGCATAAGTCTCCGAACATACTATCCCTCCATCCGTAGGCGCATTCATCCAGCCGTCCAGCCCCCCCCGCCCTTGTGGGCATGCACGTGGCATGCATGCAGCATATATAGACGTCATCGGGTACAGCTTGCTTCTGGGCAGCGCTTGGGATGAGTTGGGATGTACGTCGGTGGATAGACAGGCGGGTTGGTAGGTCGGTGGGTGCCGAGGCAGCAATATTCTTAGGCAGATTATAGGTGAGTTAAGGGTTTAGGGATTAAGGTGGTTGGAAACATGGTGGTGAGGATGAGATGGGCGACGATGCCTGATATCGATGATAAAAATAGTGGTAGTGGTTGGCCATGTTGATGACAGAAGCGGCTCATCCATGACGATGGTGCGTAGCATCCTTGAATCCTGCATGTCGCGGGTCTCATGAGTTCTTTCCTCAAGCCGAGTGCGAAGACGTATGATCATTTTGCTTTTGGGTGTATTTTGTCTTACAGAACCCTCAGGCTATTCTAAGTGTCTCATCTGTGCGAGGCCTCCCGAGACCCTCAACCCTCAACCCCTAAACTTTTAAACGTCCAAGGCGAAGCCATAAACCTCCAAAGAAGCCCTTTCGGGGAGAGAGAACGGATAAAACTGAATGGTGCAGAGAAGAGCTGTGAGGTCCCTTCGCAAGGATGACACGCACAAATCGTGAAGTGTACCAACTGGGTGGCAATTTGGGAAACTTTTCGAAATTTCTCTTATGGTTTCTATAGAGGCACCTAATCATAAGTACTTTTCAGGGCTCCAAAACTACAACCCAGACCAAGTACACTTTGAAGCCCTCAGCCCGAAAAACCCAAACCTAGGCCCAAGCAGCTGGAAAAAGGAATCGCCCTAAATCCTGATACCCTAAACCCTGAACCCCAAGCCTACATCTTAAACCTTAAACCCTAAACCTTAAACCCTGAACCCTACTTTTAAATCTTAAACCTTAAACCCTACACCTTAAACCCTGAACCCTAAGCCCTAAACCCCCAAATCCTGATAAACCCTTAACACTGGTGTCACAGGCGCCCAGGGCGATCGCGCGAAGCGCTGTGTCAATGAGATCCTCCGGGCCACGAGGCTCGAGGAGAAGCAGAGGGAGCCCTGGCAGCAGAAGTACGGTTTAGGATTTAGGGCTTTAGGGGTTTAGGGGTTTAGGGTTTAGGGGGTTAGGGGTTTAGGGGTTGAGGGGTAGGGGTTTAGGGGTTCAGGGTTTAGGGTTTAGGAGTTTAGGGGTTTAGGGGTTTAGGGGTTTAGGGTTTAGGGGTTTAGGGGTTTAGGGTTTAGGGGATTTTCGTGGTTAGAAGAGTGCTTTGTAGGTCTATTTTTTTTCCTCTAGGGCGGGTTTTAAAGGGGTTTCGATTTCATGAGAGCCGGGAGGCCTATCATACGGTGGATGATATAAATCCCGCATCACCCATAATAAGGAATATGCCATAATTCGCATAGGTTAGGTTCCTTAGGGAATGCAGGATTTATATCATCAATAGTAGTACGAGGGAAACACTGAGATTTGAAAGGAGGGTGGGTACTGCTTGTCAAGTCACCATCGTAACTTGCAGGATTCCAAAGCTTAGTATATAGGGTTTAGGGTTTATGGGTTAGGGTTTAGGGGTTTATGGGTTCTGGGTTTAGGGTTTATGGGTTCTGGGTTTAGGGTTTATGGGTTCTGGGTTTAGGGTTTATGGGTTTAGGGTTTATGGGTTTAGGGTTTAGGGTTTATGGGTTGTGGGTTTAGGGTTTAGGGTTTAGGGTTTGGGTCTTATGACTATGAGGGTTCTGTAACGGGTCGCTAAGGGTTCAAAAAGAGATCTCAAGGTTTCTAGGACCAGGGGACTGTTGAGGACCAGGGGACTTGGCAAGTAGGGATATAAGAAGGGCACGTATAGTCATAAACCACTTATACCAACCTCCATCAAGACAGTGACAACCCTACGTACTTATAACTACCCGTAAACCTCCAAGCGCCGCAAAAAGGGCTCTCACTCCGGGTATGCGCTGGCAACGCACGATAAAGAAATGATGGGAACGCCATCTGGTTTTTCTGTCCTGACTCTCTGCCTGCCTGGTGGGAGCGCGAGAGTCGCGCCCCAAAGCTTCAAAACTACCCTGGACACTAGGCACTGGACCCTGCAAACCCTCCAACCCTACACCCTGGACCCTCAAACCCTGAACCCTCAACCTAAGTCTTTAAGCCCTGGCAGCCCTAAGTCATGTGAACACCTGGAATCAGAGCTCTTCCTGTTGAACTCCCACATCTCTAA